ATTTTTTTTTTTTGCACTATATAATTATTAACTAACTAAATATTTATTATTAGATTGAATTAAACTTACAAACTATCGAACCAAATGATGATGAAGATTGGGAATCAAACGTACAATCTATTGAATTAAGTGATCAAGCTATTAAAGACCCAGTATATAATTTCAATTTATATAAACGTTTTAAAATATCAAATTTTTCTTAATCATGCTTTTTTTTTTTAGGTAAATCCTGATTTTCAAACCCATGCACCATTGTCAGATATTCAAATTAACTCTGTTACTCCAAGTCGTCCTGGTATTTATGGTCCTGGAAACCCTCATCCTAATGCATTCAAAAAAAATCCAACACTTGGGGGCCGTCAACTCTTGAAAAAGAAAAAGAAAAATTCGCAAAATTCACAAATTATTAATAATTATTATATTTCTGCCAGTACTGTAATTTTTAAATAAATTTATATAGTATAATACGTATATATGATGTAATCAGTATTAAAAGATATATAAATTCATTTAATAAAATTTAAATTCCGATATTATTGGAATTGATAAATAAAAAATAATTATATTATTGACCGGTGCAGATCATAATGGCCTGAAGGATAATATTTATTACAGTCAGAAAATATTATTATAATTTTTCTAAGCATTTCATTGCCTTTTAAAATGATTATAATTCTTCTCCAATTTATGTATTAACTTTATTATCATCTATTTGTTACTATTGGATTAATCATGTTTTCTATAATAATTTTTTGTTGCGTTTTGGATTCAGAATATAAAACTTTTTGCTCAAATAAATAATCAGAGATAGTCTTCCGGAGGAGCATTCAAAATAACTTCTATAAGATTTTTTGGTGTAATTGCATTTGCCTGATTAGTTTTTATAATTTTATTTCTTTTTTCATTTATCATTAGTGGAAATTTGGTTATGGTGAACAATGTGTATTTTTTAAAATATTGTGTTATTGGATTTTATGTTTTTAAAAGATTGCAATTATCGTTATACATTTTGAAATATCAAAGAAAACAAAATCATTTACAAATCAATTAATACTTTATTGAATGATCATGATAAATTGACAATACTACATGATTTTTGAAACTTTTTTGGGTGGCGATTTTACCCTGGTCAGTCAAAGTATGTTTGAAAATGTGTCGGGAATTAAATTTTAAATATTTTTTAATCGATCAATCGAACCCCCTAGCATAACCACCAAAATCAGTTACGTAATCGCTGTTTAAAATCTGATATTATAATCCAGCACAAATTATATTATATCGATAAATAACGATAAAAACTTTTATTATGATATTATAACGATTTAAAATTTTTATTAAAAAATTTTATTATAAAGTTATAATGCGTAAAATTTAAAATTTTAATTATCAGTTATAAAAGATTTTTTTGCGTAAAAAAAAATGCCAAAGTTTGTTCAAATATATACAATAACATTAAATATTTATGAATTATAAATTTATTACCAATAGAAAGTATTCTTGTTTCGTTTATTCCAGGTTTTTTTAATTCGATAAAAAATAATAAATAAACTATACCTCATGAAGAGTTTTTTATGCTGATTGAAATTTTCAATTCTGTTTTATTTGATTTGTTATTTTTTGCAATAATGTTGTTGTCAAAAACCGTTGAATTAATTGTTATCGCTAAAGAAATTTGTGCATGCATGCGAATATTCTTCCATATTGTTTTTTCAGCTTCTTCAATTATTGGATAATTTAAATTTCTCTGAACCTTAATTGAAAATTATTAATAAATATACGTTTTCAAAATAAAATATAAATAAATCTATCAAACCTTCCTAAAGAATGTTACTGATGCTAATTTATTTTGTAAATCAACTCTAACAAGCTACAATCATAATGGTCCAATTTTGACTCTGTATTGAGTTGCTTAGAACTATCTAAAACTTTTGTTTTTTTTTCTAGCTCTTGACGGCAATTGCACCAATAAGTGAATGTCATACTTTTGTTTGTTTATTATAATACTTCTTAAGATAAACATAAGAGTATTTGTCACCTTTTAGTTGCTATTATGTTTTATTTGTCGATGCGATCTGAAATATCCATTTGTATAAGTTTATTACAGTATTATAAACTACATCTTCAAGATCTTCTATAGATTCTCTTGCATTTCACAAATATCCGTTTTTCTTTATTTATATAGTTAAGCATTCGATACATGTTTTTTTTAATTATTTTCAAAATTAATTTGTTTATTTTTCGACAAAATGAACATTTTTTTGAATTCAATTGGACAGAA